GGGAACCCTTGATCTACGGATCCAAATTGCACTTGACATTTTTTGGAACTTATCGTTAAGAGCGATGTACAATCTGTGGCTGTAGCCATATTTATACTTCTAAATCAGAAGTATAAATATGGCATCTTAAAATTTATTCGTACATAAAAACAAATCGTACTGCATCTGAATCTCTCCTCACATGAGTCGGTAGAGAGGCTGATGTTTTTTGTCGTTTTTAATGAATGTAAATAACATCGGATGATACAAGCTAGCCCCCCGGCGTTGCGCGCCTCACGCAACCGACACACGCTGCTTTTGATTGTGACACCATATAATTAAAGGCCCGTTTGAAAAAATAAAATGAGCACGTGTCGCTTCAAGTTTCGAGAAAATTTAACGACGAAATGATGGAAAGTGTCATTTGAAATAAAAAAGATAAACTACTGGCTATCCTATGTATGAATTACGTTTGTTCGTTTGGATTTTGTAATATCCTAATAATATTATAAATGTGAAAGTTGGTATGTTTGTTACTCAACCACGCAAAAACGGCTGAGCAGTTTTGAATGAAATTGGCTTACATACAGCTTCAGTATACCTAGAAAGAGTCGCAGGATACTATATATCCCGAAAAAGTGTTTGGTGCCTGAAGGATTTTCAAAAATCAAAAGTCGCGGGAGGCGGGTTGATAAAAAAAAAATTACAAGGTACTTTATATTGTTATGGATCAGTGATGGGATCTACGGTGCAGTCAGCTTACCCAGAAGTGGCCTATTCGCTCTAGCTTTAAAAAGAATCGGATTATAAGTATTTGGAAACACAGACGCAGGCAAGCAATTCCACTTCGTCTCTGTACACATTACAAAAGTTTTTGAGAAGAGTTTGGTGCGAAGGTACTATCTCCCTTTTTCCTTTAAATAACGGGGCGGAATCGAAATCAAATTGCTTTTAAGGATATCTCGGGTTCATGATTTTGTACTTATTCTTTTGGCAGCACTTGTATGAATGAACTTCGTCTTTGCAACTTATACGGAGTCATTAACTGATACGTCCGGTTTGCAATGTAAGTTCTAAAAAACTTAATTATTTTCAAATTTAAGTTATTTAGAAATAACGTTTTCCACCACATGGCACCATTTAAAAGCAATTTCAATGCAATTTCACTAGCGCAATCGAGCATATTAAAAACTCTCACTTAGCGCTCTGAAATAACTTAACGCTGTAGAACCGTGTCACACTTACTATTGCTTTCGTAACCATACAACCATATAGTGATAACGTGATACTAATAATGAAAATGAACATCCAAGGTTAACTTAAAAATATAAAACTAGCAAACCAGTGAACCAAATGTTCACCAAAAAAAAAATGTATTCAATTAATTGAGAACTTCGGAGATTTGGGGACGGCAAGAGCTCTCCCCAAAGACTTGGCGTGTGCCTCTAGAGGTATGCCAGACATATGGCATTACCTCACGGGGGGAAACTCCTCTCCGTCAGGAGCTTTCTAGACCAATCAAACCTGAGGGGATCGACTCAAGTATATACTAGCGTCTTTGAAACTCGGACCTTGGCTCTAGTTAATCGTTGTCGTGCAGAGTTAGATAACAGAAAAGATGATGCGGTATCGCTTCAGCTAGCCTCACCTTGCTCACTTTGAGCCAAACCCCTATCCTGTAGGGCCCTAGAACCTTACTCACTAACAGAAACACAATATTATCAAAAAGTATTTAAGGTAACTTTAAGGCTTTACGGTAGGTAATTATTTTTCAGTTCACTAAGCATGCACTTTGTCAGATGCGTATTCGTATCGCCATCGTCAAAATCTCTATGGATTAATCTAGTTAGTCCATAAGTGCGGTAGAGGCGCTGCATAGTTTCCATACAAACTTTGACGATGACCTACGGTTCTGTCAAAGTTCGTGCTTGGGGTACTATACCTTTTTTCTACCTTTACCGAGAAAACATCTAAATATCGGTATTTTTGGTACGGTTTCTGCAGTCTCCAGTAAGCTGGCGTTACCTACTTCTGGAGATTGGTGATCCGATTCAGACGGAAAGTTCCTTATAACTTTCTTTACCTCTTTCATTAGCATTATTTTAACCTCTCATTAGAGGTTAAACTGCCATTAGAGTCACGCACACATGGCGCGGAACATGAGCCGTTTTCTTTGTGTTATTTATTTGGACGTAGACGTATAAATGATCAAAGGCACACACAGTAGCTACATGAACAGAGCATGGTAATACATGGATATGTCTTAAGGTAATCGCAAGCCTTGCAGGCTGGCAGCTGATTACCATTCTTCTTTTATTACCATACACCATCCTTGTTGAGCGAGGCAATAGAAACATATCATCAGCCCTACACAAATGCAAGCCACGCGTGAATGCGCCGCTCACGCCACCTGTCGTGCGAGTAGGTAATCACAGAGTACGAACGAGGTTAGAATTCGAAGTCCGAAGCACCTGGTCTGGCTCCATCATTCCGCTACTGTTTAACAGTGTCCCGAGGGCACGTTTTTGTGAAGAAAAAACCTCAAACTAAAAAAACGAATTCCGAAAAATCACCGACATTACCCGTAATTACTTTGATCGCGTTTAGGTATATCCATTTTGGTTAGAACGCGACTTTGAGATGACTTTTTGTGATAAACTTGATTATAGGAAAAACACTCTATAGCGGCCAAGTCTGAATGGTAGATTTGTTTTTTGTTGGTACTTGGTATGTACACTTAAACTTTTGCGGACATAATCTCGGTGCATGTTTTACATAATTATATAGTATTTTATACGTATATTACAAGTCACAATTTTGTATAAAAGTTATACAAGTTATTAACTATGTAACTGTAATGATAAAAACTAAGCCAACCATAATTTTGTCTAGCAAATAATATTAGTGTACCTATTCCATTCGGTAAATATGATATAACTATTTGATGGAATTTATGGAATATGGAAACTAAGTTTTACAGTTTTTTGGACCGAACATTGACCAAGGTTCACAAGTGATTACGCTGAAAGCGCTCTTATTGAAATTCTTAATACCTTCAATAATTTATTTTCTTTCTTCCGACAAGCAATCCCAAAAGTATGAGTATAAGCGGGACACAACTGACAATATAATTTAATAAATTTATTGTTATTAATATAATTTTTGAAACCAATGAAAGATGACGTTTCGATCTTGGGCTTGTAATATTAAAAAATAAAAGCAATGGTGACAATTGTAATAGTTACTTTAAATGGATAGGCCGAAATTAATTAAAAAAGAACCATATTAGCCGGGAAAGCAATGAACTATTAATCGCAAGAGGAGTTTAATGCAAATCCATATTCATTTTGGGTTGTCAATTTATTTAAATTTACTACGAAATTACTGGTCCAAAAGGGTTACTGCTAAATTTTGAAACTAAGACTATGTTTCTACCAAAAATAAAATGAAAATTTACCTTATATTAGGGTTCGGGTACGACAATGAATTTGGACATTACCGACTTTGCTGCATCTGGGTAGTATAAGTCTGGTGTTGTAAATATTTAAGGGATGGCCGTTGTTACATCACGTGGGTTCCCACATCATGGGAAATGTTGAAGTTTGAATGAAAAAATCCAGATAAAAAATCCAAATAAAAATATGCTTTTCGCTGAAAATAAATATTCCTCAGATTAGCACATGGCTCACAACAAAGGAAAAAAAATGTAAAACTAAGGAAATCACTAAGGTTCTGACCGTTTTACAAACAAAATAAGCTTGGAATGTGATCGCCGCCATTCCGCGCAAACGGTGTAAAATATTACATCTGTAAACAAAATCAATCCTCATGTAAATCTTTGAAATATATGAATTAAAAAACACTTACCATTAAAAACAATCGATAATCTAAGGGATTATCAAATCAATAATTTGGATTACGAAATGACCATCCTTTGGTCTAAAAATTACGTCGTGAAGTGAAGTGACATTAGTTTTTTCTCAAGTTTGTTTTCTCTTGCCGGGAAGGCAAAGAGAACAACGTCCATTCCGCCAACTGCTTGATAAAGGCAGAAACATAATAATGAAAAGTGCACAGATTAAGGAAAATGGGCGCGAGATAAAAACGACCAGTGAGACAACCTAAAAAAAATCTTCTATCTCGCTCTTCGAGCGAAGGAGATTCATGTAACGTTTTTAACACGTTACAGGCTCAATAAACATATTCGTTAAACTTAGAAAATCACTAGTGTACACGAAATTATAATAAAAACAGAAAAACTAAATAGCTGTGCTTCTGACATGGAAAAACTGTGTCAAAATCTAAATATTCGAGCCACTATTCGAACTATTTTTAAGTAGCTCGAAAAATAAACCAAATGGGTTAAAAATATTTCAACGCTAAATGTACAAATCTTAATGTCGACTGTATCTAGACAAGACTTGTTATCTTAGTTATATAATTTATTTACGGGATTGTTACCATGTACCTTGTTTTTAGCGAGTTTCCGATATTTCGGCACTGTTGCAAGTGCCATGATCACGGAGTTACTGTTATATTACTGGAGAACAGTGTCGAAATATCGGAAATTCGCTAAAAACAAGGTACATGGTAACAATCCCGTAAATCACTTATATTACTATAATGTTAGTGACCATGAAAATTTAAAACAATACCTGTCATCAGCTGTAAAAGACGAATCAGACCAATCTGAAATGTTAAAAAATAAATATAACGGTTTAATGAAGTCTCGGTGGTGGGAAGGCCCATCGTGTTTGTACTTATCAGCTGTAAAAGACGAATCAGACCAATCTGCAATGTTAAATAATGTTTAAGTATTAAAAAAATGGGATTCGAACCCGCACATATTCCACTTTCCATGCGGATAGCTAAGGATGTTGGTGCCGGTTTGAATCCCATCTGAAAACTGGACCGAGTGGTTTTTTTTTCTAGTAATATTTTAAATTAAACTGTTTTTAAAATTAATAGTTGTAATATTAATGACGAATGTTTTATTACAATAATATTTATCTTATTTACAGATTCGATTCAGAAGAAAATAGATCAACAAGATGTCGCAAAGGGATTTCTCTGAGGTTAGTGTTTTTTTAAACTCTCCGTTTTATTTCGGTATAGAAAATAAATTAAAAAAGCTTTTCTGTTTACTTATCAAAAACATTAGTGAATAACAAACGACGTGCTTCACACATATGGATATTTTTCGTATAGACTAACGTTTTTGTTATGATTGAAGAGAAATAGGGCAAAGTGGATTTCCCGCTCGAATTGGAGCGCCCGTTTAGGGAAGTAACCTCCTCCTTTTCAGTTTCCCCACAAAACAAATCCATCGTATTAGTTATTTTTAGGATGTGCTGTTTCCAATTCAAATGTGTGTCTAATTTAATACCCAACAGAGTAGCGGAGCTTACAACATCCTATTTCGTGTCATTGTAACTGTGTGATATTTCTAATCCAGACCTTTGATATGGTTTAAATTGGATGATTTTAGTCTTATTAAGATTAAGTTGCAGGTTATGGGATTCTAGCCAGTTAGTTATTTTGCCAAGAGTTGAATTCAGACTAAGTTCTGCAGTATTGGAGCAAGGTATTAAGACGGAAATGTCATCTGCAAAAAGAATGCTTTTACTGTCCAATATTTTTGGCAAATTATTTTTATAAATCAGGTATAAGATACATCCCAAAACGCTACCTTGCGGGATAGACCCCTTCACAGGGTCCACATCAGATCTAGTTAATGTAATTCGACCTGTATTAAAGTTAGTATTTTCAATTACTACAAGTTGAAAGCGATTGGTGAGGTATGATTTAAACCAACTATGAACCAATCCACTGATTCCCGATTGCTATTATTTACATGACAAACTATATCGTATGCTTTACTTAAGTCAAGAAGAAGCCCAACTGTATTTTTTTGCTTTCAATTGTTTCTAATACATGCTTTATAAATTTATAAACAGCCAGTGTGGTGGAGTGGTTCTACCTAAAACCACATTGATTTTTATTAAAAATGTTAAAGTTTTTCATAAAAACCCAAGAGGCGTTTTATCATAGCGGTTTCAAATATTTTTGGTGATGTTGTTAACATAGCTATGTGACGAAAATTATTTATATCAGTAGCATCACCCTTTTATTTGCTATCGTGGAAGCAAAAAGTTATTTTGTATCTCGCAAATCTTACTCGCCCCGCTACATAGCTTAGCATCAGTGGAAATGGTCACGTAGTTTCGTAGCTCAGCTGACATATCCTTGCAGCATAGCTGCATAGCACATCTCTGGTGGAAAAGCAGCCTTATACGCCCCTGCTGAAACATGACCATAATATTTTAATTTCCCAATGGCGCCAACGCAACACCGGCGCCGGCCCTGCAAACTCAGCGATACCAACTGAACCATAGATAATTGACAATGTTGTAGCACTTATCTGTTACTATCCATCGGATCGGTGTGGTGTAACCTTGCGTCATAATGCCAATTGTATGCACCATCGCCGGTCGTATCGGCAACATAATAGAAAGTACAGAAGGTAATATCATGTATGTACTTCACTTTGCATACCCACGCTCGGTGGTCGCGCTAGGATAATAATAATAGAATAATAATAAATATTTCCAACACTCACACCAATTAGCCTAGCCCCAAAGTAAGCACTGTAAGGCTTGTGTTATGGAATACTAGGGTAACGGATAGAATATATATATTGTACATATATAAGTATATTTATATAGGAATACATATTGAACATCCATGACTGGAGTACAAATGCTCATATTCATCAAACAAACATCTGCCCCCACCGGAATTCGAACCCAGGACCGCTCGAGTCGGCGACACCTCGAAACCCGGCGTACAAACCACTCGGCCACGGAGCTCGTAAAATTGGCTTTTGCAAAAGGATTGTCAGCATTGGCTTATGCACAAAGAACTATCGCGGTAGTAGCACTCGTATTTAGTTGTTTGATTTATTGACCAGAATAAAACAGAAAAAACGGAAATAAAACCAATAATAACTAAAAAATTTTAGTTCACGTTGTGGGTTACCTACAATGCGAAGAGATGGCGCTGCCTTGCAGCTTAAGAAAGGCTAGAGAAAATTCGACACGGCCATCAGGGCTGCGGTAGCATAATGGTCAGTGCATTCACCCGGATAGCGAAGAGTGAGGTTTCGAGTCCCGTCTGCTGCCTGGTCCGCGTGGAGTTTTTTCTAGTAAAATTTTCTTTAGATTTAAAATATTTTAATTCAATGTTACCGTAATTTAAAACCGGCCAAGTGCGTGCCGTGCCACTCGCAGTGTAGGGTTCCTTAGTTTCTTATCGTCACCACAATATATTTTGGAAACAGTTTACATTTTAAGCAATTACTTCGTCTAAGTCATTTTGAATATTTTCATGTAAGGAATTTTTATTAGGTCAGAAATTTACTATTACTCATAAACTAAAATCGTTATAATTATCCCTAATAATTCATAAAAAGCACTAATATTATGAATTTTTCCAGGTTTTCAAGCCAATAGCTTAGAGTTTACAGGGGGGGGGGGGGTCCTACACGAACACAAATTAGCATTTAAAAGTTCAATATTTCGCAAACGGATCCCTGAATCGAAAAATAGTCTTAGAAACCTCTAAGTAATTTTAAAGGATCTATAGAACGATGCCTCATACGATGCTGTAGACGAGTAAATTATAAAATCATCTCCAGCTTACATGTAGGGGATCTAACCAAAAAAAACTACTATTTTTTCGGCATGATTGATATACATATCTCCACAAAATAACAGCTCGGCTCGGGACGGAGACAGACGGACACGGCAAGACTATAAGGTTTCCTTGTCAAGACTTCAATTCAAATGTTAAATTTAAACAACCGTCTACAGAACTGATATATAAACAATATATACCTTGTTTTTTGTTGCTCGCAGTGGTATCAACTGGTCCGAGATATCATGTTCATGAACGGTGTCTATGTGTGAGTTGCTTGAGCGCAGTTTGTATGTAGATTACCTTCTATACTATCTATTTTGTGATTCACCGGTCGGCGTCCGGCTGACGTGTGAACGTGCACACGCGGGCATGACTTGCAGCTTAGCCGGAGACGTTCTAAGTGTAAAGAGACTAGAGATTTTGCCAAAATCTAGGTACTATATGTATTGCAACTACTTCCTGAAGTTCGTTCGGACAGCGATTACGCAAGATAAGCAACTCTCGCATTGACCGATTATTATTCATTATTTATATTTATTTACAAGAAACATGGTACAATAAAAAGATGTTACAATACATCTGATGCTCAAAAATGATATCAAATAATTTTATAATAAATCCTATGCATATTAATATTGTAATTCGTCCCATTAATGTCAATCATATTAAAACATGAATTCCAATTAAACATGTCAATTAATCGTCATATGTCATCACATTATACATGTCAACAAATCCATATTATTATTTAGTTTAATTTACAACTATAAAACTTTAGATCATTTATTCCACTTATACATGTCAAAATATCAATCGATAAAATATTATTAAATCACTACAATAAACAAATAACACATGGAATAAAAATTACAATTTTAATTATTTTTTCACACAATAAGTGTACTTATATTATGATTATTAAGAGTAACCAAAAATTTACTCTTTCGAGCTCCGCCCTGCTTCGGAAGGCGCGTTAAGCCGTTGTTCCCGGCTGCACATACAAACGGTGGCATTCACCAATTCACACTAGGCCCACGTGGTGGTTACTGGCCCAATCTCCCTATTCTATCCATAAGGAAGGCTGAGCCCCATCAGTATAGACATTAATAGGAATAATGATAATTCTGCCTACATCATCGACAATTTTAATTCGTAGACTCAAATTGGATGCCTCTTTCGGTTTTCCACAGCTATATTTCAACATTATAGGATTAATTAGGTGTCGTTCGCGTTGGACCTTACTATAAGGATGATTATTATCTAAACTTAAATCTAATTTAGACAACAGTAAATCCTTTTCTTGAAACTTCTTAGTCAACTCACTTTATATGGATATACTATTGTCAAAAGTTTTAGGTTAAGATAATATACCAGAATCAGACCCATAGTAAACGGTGTTTAGGAAAATTTCGAAACGTTTTTTTTTCTAGTTGTTTATTACCGTACGTGTGGTTAGCAACTGGTGTATTATTGATGCAGCTAACGCGTTTTATGTTTGCCGCTGTGCTGTATCACAGCAAACACTGAAAACGTGCACCAGTGCTATCATGATGTACGCAGTCACAAAAAAACGTGATAAAACGTAAGCGCTCCGAGGAAAAAAGTTGTGTGTTCCGATGCATAAATTACCGATTTAACTATGACATATCGCAAGGCATAATATTCACATCAGAAGTAATACGTGAATTATAGTAATATAAGTTATTTATTGGATTTGGACCTAAAAACCAGATACATCTTACCTTATGTATATATGTGTGTGTTCCGATATTTCTTCACTGTTGCAAGCGCCATGATCACGGAGTAACTGAAGTAATTGCTGGTAGGCTGTAGGATTAGTGACCATGAAAGTTTAAAACAATATATTGTAATACGTGCATATGAAAAAGGACATGCAACACATCGCCTGAAGCTTGTTTAATTTGTTAATTACCTATACTTTAGAGCAGCACATGAATTCTCAGTTGATACTGTACTTATCTAAAATTTTAGTGTATTATTATATTATGGATGTATTTTTTTAATATTTAAGGAAAACATACAGCCTTATTATAATACATTTGAGTATAAAATATTTGATTTGTACATAAGCCAGGTTCTCGATGGAGAACATAAGAGGAGCTCGATGGCGCAAGTGGTTAGCGCAATCGGCTGCGATTGTTGAAGTTAAGCAACTTTCGCAGTGGTCGGTCATTGGATGGGTGACCAAAAATTTACTATCTCGAGCTCCTCCGTGCTTCGGAAGGCACGTGAAGCCGTTGGTCCCGGCTGCATCTGCAGTCGTTAGCACCCACCAAGCCGCACTGGCCCGCGTGGTGGGTCATGGCCCGATCTCCCTATTCCATCCATAGGGTAGGTCTGTGTCCCAGCAGTGGGG